CACCTTGCGTTTCCGCGTGGTGACCGCCTGGAGCTGACACCTTGCTCCCTCTCGGTGGCAGGCCGATTAGCATGTAAATAGCTGGCAGATAGGAGAAGTGAAAGCCAGGAAGCTCTTTAATTAACTTTAATCCTCTGAAGCCCACGCAGCAGTGGCTCTGACAGCTCTCCAGCCCTACCTTGGGGTTCCCCCACCCCCGGGGCCTGGGGATCCCTGAGGGGGGCTGGAGAGGGCCAGCGACAAAGTGACATTTGGGTGTCCAACCCACCACGTGCTGTGTGACCGACACCTGGGACTGGGATGCTCTCGCAGCCAGGCCTGGCGGGCAGTGGGTTCCCACCTACTGAGCATGTCCTGGTCCCAGGTCCTCACAGACAGCCCTGCACGTGGGTCCCTTCCCGGCAGGCGGCGGGGCCCAGTCTGGCTCTTCCTGCTCGGCAGCACCCACTGGCCAGACGGCAGCAGTGCGGAGCCCATGGTGGCTGAGCCCAGAGGCTGCCGGCGGCGGCAGGCTGGGAGTGACGCGGGACAGCCCGGCTTCCTGTATGCTGAGAGCAGCTGGCAGGGAGCCGCTGAGAGCCGTGGGGAGGCGCATGTCCAGGCCAGCGAAGGGAAATGGCCGAAGCACACCTGCCGGCTGTTCTAAGGAGGTGCTTCTGTCGGCTCGTGGGCGCTCACTCGGCCTGCCCCCCCTTTTCCGCAGAGCATCCCAGAGCCGATGCCAGGGCGCTCAGAGTGCCATCCTCTCGGACTCGTGGGGGAACGAGCTGCTCGCAGACACAGCACGAGAGGGATTGCACCCAGCAATGTCCCCAAGCGGAGGCTGATGAGACCACCACCTCTGGGACGGGGTCTGACTGATCCCGCAGAGGACGGGGCCATTTGTCACCTGACGCGCTCGCTCCTCAGCCAGGCCCCCCGAGGCCGGCTCCAGGTGCTCGGGGAGCACGGACGACACAACGAAAACTAAATGCAAACCTTCTCCGGGTCCCCGGAGGCCAGCGCACCCCAGAGTGCCACGCGCCCCAGGACCACACTGGGCGCCGGCTTCTGCAGCACAGGGCGGAGCGGCTGGCTGTCAGCAGGCAGCTCTGGGGGACAGCATGCCAGCGGGCAGCGCCACCATGCCAAAACCCGGGCCCTGCCTACAATCTGTCTCTGAAAGCCCAGGCACTCGGACCCGGGTCCACGGGCCGGCACAGGGCACAGGGCCCCGCCCACTGCCCGGACCCTCCAGCTCAGAGGCCCGCTGCTCACAAGCACCTCCTAGGCTGCAAGTAAAGAACTCGAAGGGCCACTTCAGGAACTGTCCAAATTCCCCCACCTTCTCTAGAAACCAAGCCCCGCGCAGGGATGGTGCCTGGGTGCCAGCTTGGGAACCCACGGTCGAGCCAGGGTCCCTGGTGGGGGGCTGGCATAGCAGCGCCAGCACCACCCCCTGTGCCCAGGCCTCCCAGCAAACCCTGACTCCTAGAGAGCGGCGCTCTAATGCCTTGGTCAGGCCAGGGGCAGAGCCGCCTCCACCACACACAGATCCACGGCACAGGGAGCAGGGCAGCAGCCTCTGGGGCCAAAGCCTGGTGGTCACGGCTGCGGCCTGAGACTCCCCTGCACGGACCCACTAGACAGACGGAGACCAGACTCCATACTCAGCGGAGGAGGCTGTCAGGGCGAGGGCCCGGTTCCACAGCGGACCCCATGGGCACCTCCGAGCTCCCTTCACTGTCCCCACCGGCTGGGCCAACAGCCCCAGCCAAGCCCCAGGAGCTGCAGGCACGTTATTTCTACGCTTTCCCTCCCGAGACACAGGGCAAGGCTGGCAATGACCTCCAGCAAAACAAGCGTTAGAATTCCGGAAAGGGGCCCAACACTGCCCTTGCCCTGCCCTCAGCCCAGCGTCCAGAGCGGACACCGGTCACCCAGCGCCCTGAGCGGTGCTGCAGACCCCTGGGGACGAGGCTCCTGCACCCAGTCCCAAGATCACACTGGGTGGCGGGTCTGGAGGACGTGCCTCCTCCCCCTGGCCTTGGACGGGGCTTGTCTCCACAGGAAGCTGACCAACGAGAGCTGGCGGCACCGCGCACCCTGCGCTGCCGCCCATGGGATGATGGATGGTGTTTAATCCTCCCGCCGGGGACGCTGCGCCTGTAAATACGTTCCAGCTTCCATGCTGGTTAATGACTATTTCAGTAGCCCGGCCGGCCGGTCTTTGTCTACTGAGGGATTGTGGGAAAAGCAGCTAACCTGCAAACAACCACCGGCTTTGAAAACATGCTCACACGCGTGCGCGCTTGTGCGCGCGCACACACACATGTACTCACACGCCCATACACTCATAAAGGTGTAGACACGTGTGCATGTACAACCACTCTTACGTGTACACACCATCACATGCACTTGCCGTCTCGCATACACACCCACATGTTCACTCACATGCATGCACTCTGACAACCACTCCAGGCACGGACGGTGGCAGACAGGCCAGTGCCATCCAGCCACAGCCTCCTCCTCCATAAAAGGGACATGGCAAATACTAACTAGAATTCTCAGAAGGACTTGTCAGTGGGATTATGAGAAAAGCATTAATGGGAATGCAGTGATCTGGGGAGTGTTGGTTAGCAGTCACCGCTGCCCCGCAGCAGAGCCTTCCTAGGGAAGAAGCCGTGTAAGGAGGCAGACGCCACCGCACGGCAGCAGGCCTGGCACAGAGCAGGCCTGGGCGGTGGGGCAGCCAGCGCGTGCCTCTCCCACATGAAAACCCAGATGCGTGTGGGCACTGGATAAGCCCCGAGAGGCTGGCCAGGTGCCAAGTGAGGCAAGTCCCCCGGTTAGGAGGAACCACTGCCCAGGCGAGCCGGAAAACCACGCGGCCCGAAGGGGCCATGCGCCACGGGCAGGCCCAGCACTTGCACGGTGTGGCCTCACCCAAGGAGACCTGGTGGGGGCAGAGGTCAGGGGAGAGAGCTGCCCATGTACCAGAAATGTGACCAGCCCTCTGCAGGCCGCCCAGGCCGCGCCCCCCCGGCCGGGGCAGCAGAGGAGCCCGACACCCTCAGCATCTGAGACCGGCGCGGAGTGGCTGGAGGCGGCCCAGCAGCAGCGAGACGCGGCTATTTTTAGCTGCACACTTGAGAGGCAGCTGGCAGGGAGCCATGTCTTTGGCGTGACCATCAATTTTCACCTGCAGCCACTTCCTTTCCTCTCAGGATGAAGGTTATTCAAAGATTTGGATTTCTTCGAAATTGAGTTAAGAGAGAACAGGTCTCCACACGACGAGAGGGATTCTAATCGTCAGCAAGGACACGAGGCAGGCCCAGCCATCCTCCCAGGCCTGCCGGACCCTCAGCCTCCCCACGACACCGCGGGCGGGGAGGGGAGGCCAGGCCAGGGCTGTGCCACCACGCCTGCTCCCCCTGTGCCTGTCTCCCCCAGTCAGTCAGGGCCTGCCCCGGGACGGCAGCCGCGTTGTTTGGGCTTGGTGCCTCGGCCTTGGACACCCAGGATAGGGCGAGGTCTGAGGGGTGAGCCCAGGCCAAGTGCCCGGAGAGGAAGGCAGCCCTGACCCCAGGACCCAGGTCACAGGCGAGCCGACAGCTCCCTGGTGAGACAGCATTTCCGTGCAGCATGTTAGAAGCGCAAACATGATGGGGGGTGAAACTGCAGGTTACCCACACCCGTCCCCTTCCACCTCGGGCCGCGATGGCGCCCCCTCCGCATTTCGGGGGGCTGGGAACGGGGTGTAGAGCTTTGAGACGGAGCGAGCTGGATACCCACAGGGATGGCCGTCTGCAGAGACAGGGCACGAGGGAGCGCTTGGGTGTTTCCTCTGGGCCCCAAAGACCACAGCTTTGAGCGTTAAAAAGACAGGCATCTGTGAGAACCTTTTACTAGATTAGCGAGCTGGTCAGCTGGCTTAGTGTGTGGTGTGCATGTGTGTGGTATGTGTGCACGGGTGTGTCTCTCCGCCCCCCGGAATGTAGTTGTACCAGGGCCCTGACACCCTGTCATGGCGCCTCCTGTCCAGCGGACGTGGCAATGACAACAGAGATGGGGGTTAGGGGAGGCTGTGAGGCCCTCAGCGATGGCTCCTGTAACTGAGCCAGCTGACCAGGCCAGGGCCTGCCCCTTCCGTGGAGAAGGCAGCAGGAGGACATTTGAAGTGTCTGCCCTGGGGCGCCACCCACCACGCCCAGGCTTCCGAGGCAGCGCCTGGGGCCTGTGAGGCGGGGAGGCTCTGGACAACCCCGTGGTGCCAACATCACACGACGGCTTCTCAGAGGACGGTAGGCCCGGCGATGGCTGGCGCCGAGTGCTGGCACCGGCTGGCTCTGTAAAGCTCCGTCGTCAGGAGGCCAGCGGCGAGGAGCGTATGGAACCACGAAGAGGGCCTGCCTGCAGGAGCACCTGGGGCAGATTCGGGCTTTTCCTTCCCGTCTCCTAAGATGTCAGCGTCCGGGCGGCATCTTAATGAGCTCCACACAAACACTGCCTGCTCTCCAGGGACTCGCCTGTGGAGCCAGAGCTCACAGCTCTTCAGGCAAAGAGCAGACAAGAGCGCATCTGCCCAGCACGTCTGGACATGGCGAATCCTCACTCCAAACACAGCGCGGAGGGAGGGGGAGAGAGGGCCGCTCCCAAAGGACCCAGGACACACCGGGGCCCACAGAGCTGTCCAACGGCCTCAGCCCACAGGGGCACTGGCTTGGAGAGCTCTTGACAGCACGCCAGAGCCCTCCTGCCAATCAGGCCACCACCACAGCCTGCCGCTCCCCGCCCCCTCGCCCCCTGACGCTCTGCCTGAGCTGTGGCTGAGCAGGGCTGAGCCAAGTGTGAGGACGAGGCACGTGAGGAGTGTTCATTTAGCATAGTGAGATCCGGGCAGACGTGGGTGCCGGAGACAAAACACAAGTGGCGGAGGGGGGCTGGGCTGGGCGCTGCTGACTGAGCGGCCCAGCCTGGCCGGTAACTGCCACCTGCCCGCCCTGCCCCCGCAGCCGTACCTTGGTCAGCAGCAGCACCCGCTTCTGCAGCCTGCGGGCCAGCGCCTCGTGCGTCTCACGCTTCTTCCTCTCCTCCAGCAGCTGAGCGCTGACCTGGCGGACCTCCTCCTGCAGCTGCTGCCTCATCTTGTCCAGCTCCCGGACGCTGCGGACAAGGCAAAGGGCAGAGGGTGAGGCTGGGCCCGCGGCAGCACCCCAGTCACGGGCCCTCCAGACCCAGCCATGTCACTTGGTCTCAGAACAGAGCCGTACGTGCAGCCCCTGACATTTCCCTGAACAGTCCTAGGAGCCTCAGAGCGTCTGCATCCCGCAGACCCAGGTGACCCAGCAGTGGCACCCCACACACAACGGGGAACCAAGGCCTGAAGGGGCTCCAGCGCCAGAGCAGTACTGCCTGCGTCATGCCAGGTGAGCAGCTCCGTGCTGCAGGAAGTCGAGCCCCAGCTTGGCCTGGAGCAGCCGAACCCCAACCTCAGCTCTGACACTGACGCGGGGCCACATGTGCTCTCGGCCAGCTCTGGAGCCACTCTGCTGGCCCGGGCCCTGCCCTTCCTGTCACCTCTGCTCCTAGCATCCTGCCCTGTGCTCGCAGCGCCTGCCCTGGGTCCGTGGCTGGCTGTCCCCTCAGTCCCCAGACAAGGATGGACACTTGGCTTAGAGCCTCTGAGCTCCCAACCACCCACAGACGGACCTCCACCTCTTGCTAGGGGCAGGGAGGGGGTGAAGCGCCTTCGGTTTGGTTTCACACGCTTTCCCCAGAGGCCACTGTCCTTCCAGCCCCGCCCCGCCTCTGCCCGGCCTGCCTCTGCCTGGCCTGCCTCTGCGGGCTTCCGAGGGAGAGTCCGCGACCAGGGAGAGCAGTGCGGGGAGGGACGGTGATGGGGCTGCCGCGGGGAGAAAGCAGGGCGAGGCTCGGCACAGGCCGCACCGGGGGCAGGAGCCTCAGAGTGGCCTACAGGGGGCCCGGGGCAGGCAGACGGAGAAGGCCACGGGGAGGAAGGGTGCAGGAGACCAGGAGAACCAAGACCAGGCGCAGGGCCAGCAGACGCTGCGGAGCGCGGGGACGCAGAGCCGGCGGCCGGCCAGAGGGCTCACTTTCCTATGTTAACTCCATGGGACAGAGGCCAGCGTGTGGCCACGGGGTGGCGGGTCCTGACCGCCTGCAGAGGAGGACGGGGCGTCACACGCAGGGGGGCCCCACCAAGAGCAACGTCCCCGGATCCAGTGCCAGTGCGTCAGGGCACTTTCCAAACCACCTGCTGGAAGATGCCCCCCACCCCGGCAGCCGGCAGGAGGGGCCTGGCTGCCCGGTGCTGCCGCCCCGTGCCCGCTGCTGCCGCCCCGTGCCCGCTGCTGCCACGTGTTCTCCGTCAGGCCCAGCCTTTGTTGTGAAGTAAAAGGAAACTCATAAAACATTAAGCCTCCTGCTGCCTCCGATGTGCCCCGAGTCCGCTGGCATTTCTGTGAACGCTGGGCGTTCAGAATGAAGTCCTCGGCTCCTGGGGAGTCGGCGCCTTTATCGGTCATTCGCCCGCTCGATGGCGTCTGAGCCGCGCAGTGCTGGCCCAGCGGCCGCTTTCATGTCGTCTTCCAGACAACGTCTGCCACGTGCCCGCTCCCAAGGACACGAATGTGCAGCAGCAGGAGGCATCCATGGCCTTCCTCAGACACTGCGGGCCGGGTCCTCCCCCCTCTCCCTCCTCCCAGCTCCCGCCCGCCCCCCACCCTCCTGCTGACCAGGTGGTGCGGACCAGTGGCGGTTACCTCGCCCCGTGGTGCGGACGGCCACAGGCCTGGCCTTCGCCCCATGGTGCAGGACTGCCGGGAGGACCGTGCCCTCCAGGAGCCCCAGTGCAGCCACACACCAAATCTCGCCCGTGGTCAACACAACATGGGCGCCAACATCCAACAGCCATCGCCAGACCCTACATGCAGGGCCAGGGGGTGACTCTGTCAGGCCCTTCCCGCAGGCACGGCCCTCACACGGGCCGCTTCCCACAGCGCCCTCAGGACAGACCAGGGTCCCGGCGGGCTGGCACCAGTATGCCTGCAGTCCACCCCAATTCTCAGTAATGGCACGCCCGTATGAGACTGAGGACCAGGACACCTTCCTCGCACGGACCCAAACCCCGAACATCTTCCTCCCCCTCGGTCCCTCCAGCCACACCCTGAGCACGAGACGCAGGGAGGGTCTGGCCGTGTCCCAGGAAAGCCCTTGGCGGCAGGGACGGGCCATCGCCGCTGAGGTCTGGTCACGTCATCAGGTGCGCTTCGCTGAGCGCCCCCGAGGGACTCAGGCGGACGGCAGAGGCAGGAGCCGAGGTCACACTCGGGCAGCCGTCCGTCCGCACGGGACACAGCACAGGCAGGACGGGAGGAAGCGCCCTGTCCCCGCCAGTCCCCACTCCCAACGAGGGAACAGACCTCTGAGGTCAGGCGGCTGGGATGGCAGCACAGGCTCCGACTCAGACCAGAGCCCGTCTACCTGAGGGCTGCCCCTCCCCGGGCCCGCCTTGGCCAGCATGGCGGGACAGGCGAGGGCACAGCGGGCGGTAGGACCTTCGTCTTGCTGCAAGGCTGCGTGTGTGGGAGGAGCGAGGGCGGGGTGGGAGGCGGGCAGGAGGCCTGTGCCCCGGGCCTGCTCAGGCTGCCAAGAGAGGGAGCGGAGGCGGCTGGCCCACGCGGCCTGCAGTGTCTTTATTTATCCATTTGACCCCGATCCCAAATGCCTCAAGTGTCATTACACGTTCCTCTGAAAGAATCAACGTCTAAACATGGAAATAAAAGCGGAGAATCAGCAAAGCAGAGGCTGAAATAATCACCAATCAAAGGCAGGCCCGGAGCGAGGAGGCTGACAGGCCTGGCCTCCCAGAGAGCCCCCCTCACTCCTCCCACCCCCGCAGCGTGCGTCCCCGGAGCATCGAGGCCACGGGAAGCACTCCCGTCCGACCTTGAGACGTGAGAAGGAAAACCACCCTCTGCAGTTTCAATTCCATCCCCACCGTAATGAATAGTCCAACCCACTGATCAGTTACCAGCCTGCCTTCGCCAGTCAGGGGCCTCCACCTCACATCACGCGGGGAGCCCAGGCGAGGCTGGCTCTGGGTGCCAGGCCACAGAGGCCCAGGCAGGAAGGACACGGCAGGGAGCGGCGGGCAAGCCCAGTGAGCCCGGCGGTCCGGGGACCAGGGCAGACAGTTACTGAAGGCGCCCTCGCTCCAGCGGGGGCTCTGGCGGCCACCTTTCCAGGGACAGCAAAGTGGGAAGAGTAACCTCTGCCCTGAGGAGTTGGCAGCTAACAGAGGGACACAGGGCGGGCCCAGAGCGGAGAAACGTCGGACAGGAGAGGCGGGGTCTGGGAAAGGCCAGGTGCTCAGGCAGGGGGAGGGTGCCCGCAGGCAGGAGCAGGGAGCAGCACAGGAAGGCGCTGCTGAGCAGGGCGGGCCTCGGGTGCAGGGAGCAAGCGCACAGGGAGCATGCTCCCATGTCCAAGAGCAAAGAGAAGCCAGCCGAACAGCAGCGGGGGCCGAGCACGGGAGACACCAGCCAGCACCGTGACCGTGGTCAGGACTAGAGAGGTGAACCCATCCTCACCCGCCCCGAGTGGGCAGCCAGGCACTGATGCCAGGGCCGCCGGGCAGGGGGGCATATGGCCTGCTCCCAACGGCTCACACTCTCCTCCAGGCTGGTCCACCTCCCACACAGACCCAGCTGGGAAAGGGCGCTTCGGGGACGCTGACAGCCCGTGGCCACTCTGCTTCCGGATGTAGGGAGGGGCGGAGCCGGGTGGACAGTCCACAGCATTCGGAAGACCCGTCAGTCCAAGTCCGAGGGAAGTGTGCGTGTCTGGAAAAAGAGGGCAGCAGGAGGCTGGGGCATTCCACACACTGCACTTGGGAAGCTACTGAAGGAGAGGAGCCCGGCCCCGGGGAAGCCAGACCCCCTGCCGGGCACGTCACTGAGGAGCACGTGACCTCCAGGTCCTGACTCAGGTCCCCTGCAAGCCGGGGAGCCACCGAGCACCATATCTCCCTGGGGCACACGGCCCAGCCTGGTCACACCACAGCCGAGAAGAGGGCGCTCGGGCGCGGCTGCTGCACCGAGGCCGAGCCGGGCCATCTGCAGGGAGCAGATTAGAGCCAGGAAATGCAGCTGGTGAGCAAGTGCACCCGAGAACAGGCTTTCTGCTCATTGTGTGGGAGTCACCGCCACGCAGGACAGTCGCCGCCTGAGAGCTGCTCAGGTTTCCTGTGCGTCTGAGCTGCGGCGCCTCGGCTGCCCCGCCAGGCCCTGGTGACCCCGGGGTCGGAGCAGACCTGGGCCGGCGGAGCGCGAGTGCCAAGGACAGGGCCCGTGCACAGGACCTCTGGCACAGCCAGGTTCCCGCTGCCAGGAGACCCCCGGCAGTGTCAGCACCCACTCCAGCTCCCCTGCACACACTGCCATCGCCCGGTGACAAGGTGGCCTCCCGAACCCCAGGCCGTGGAGATGGCTGCTCAGGACAGGAGGCAGTGAGGAGCAGAGCTCCCGCTCTGGTCAGCCAGCCTCCAGTTAGGGTGGCAGCTCACACAGCCGGGAACTGACCAACCGCGCCCGTCTGAGGGCACAGGGGTGTGAGGGCACAGGGGTGCGCGCCCCCCAGGCCACTGCAGGGAATAAATGTCCCAGAACACGGTGGAGGGCGAGCCGCCAGGCCTCTCCACATCACGCTCTCCCAATCTCCACTCTCCGTGCCGCCGGCCCCTCGGGAGGGGGTGTGCCACCTGTGCCCCAGCGCAATGCCACCTGGTCAGGCTGGCCACGGGGCCCGGAGCTGAGCGCCCATTCAGGTGAGCGATCCGGTGGTTCTTGTGTCCGCGTTGCTGCCCAAACATCAGCCACCCAGAAGGGAGCCGCACCAGGCGCAGCGCCGTCCCTGCGGCCTGCCCGCCAGCAGCTCCGGGGTCTAACACTTGCCTGCTGTGGACTCTGGTTTCTTTTTAAAAAACATTTTTATTGATTTCAGAGAGGAAGAGAGAGAGAGACATCAATGATGAGAGAGACATCAATGATGAGAGAGACTGACCGGCTGGCTACCTTCTGCAGACACCGCTCCCCCCCCCACCTGGGGATTGAGCCCACCTGCCAGGCACGTGCCATGACTGG